GGCTTCCTTACTATAAATCTAGCCTAGTATACCCAACCCAAGTCCATATTCTCATTTTTAAGGCCCCAATATTAAGGGTTGTTATTGTTTAGGGCCCTTAACCCTAAAGCCCCAGCGCCCTAAACCCTACTCCATGACAAACCAGGATGTGGTATGCAGGCTTCGGGCACCCGTACTGAAGGACGGTAGTGTTTAGGGTGCGGGTTTAGGGTTTACGTGAAGCTTAGCAGCTTAGCCTTTGAAAGAGGAACCCCCTATAATGATATGAGGTATGTAGTTGTGAACTTACGGTTACTGGGCTCTGGAGTGTATCCCGGCGTTCGTCCGCCGATGTGCCTGAAGTCGGTGGGGCGGGGCTTTGGTTGGGGTTGGCCATCGAAGACGTTGGATGTGGTTTAGGGTTTAGGGGTCTGTTTGTGTGTGTGTGTGTGTGTGTGTGCGTGTGTGTGTTTCGGTGAGTGTAAGCATAGGCTGGAAAGGGCTCCCCAGGAGTATTGTTGTGTGCATCTGGGTTCACTCTTGGAGATACTTCATATGTTTGCCAAGTAATAACCCTAACCCCTAAACCCTAACCCTACTTCATGCAATTGTTGCGGCTATGGCCATGTATCGCTCTGTGCCTTGAGCATGTTACTGTTCAGGGGCTCTATGGGGTTGATCGGTTGGGTTTCTAAAACCTAAACCCTAAACCCAAAAGCTTTCAATGTCACAGTTTATAGAACTCAATCTTCCAACCCAAGACCTTATCTATGCCCTGTAAACCCTTGGTGATGAAGGCCTTCGGTACATGGCTTGAGGTATTTGGATTTGGGCATTTAGGACTTCAGGGTTTGATGCAATGATGATAGCTCCTTAAATTGTACTTCTAGGCCCTATGCGATGAAAGCTTCGGATGTATGGTTTCATTTCTTCGCGTGCCACAATCTGCTCTGGGACGATTTATCTTCATTTTAGGGTTTACTGCAATGAAGAAAGCTCAGACCCCAAACCAAGCTTCGACAGAGGCTCGCAACACGTACGATGGCACAGGCCCGACGAGCAACTTAAGGCTTGTGGTGCCTCAGCGCTGAGCGTGTGTGTACATGTGTGGATATATATAGATATATATGTATATATATATGTATATAGATATAGATATTTTTATTTATATTGTATACAGATACATATGTACATGTTACGTGTATGTTCCTCCCTAGGGTCACTGATTTTCAGGAGCTCTCGTTGGAGAGTGGCGAGCCGAAACCTTACAGCTTCAGCGCCCAAGCCAGCATAGAACCCTTCTAAAGGCCCATAGAAGCCCATGCATATATATATATATATATATATATATATCGTTCAGGGTTGTAGTGTTTTTGGATTTACACATAAGGTCTGGGCTTTGGCTTGTACCGCAAACCATCAAAGCCTTCCCCGAATGCTCTAAGCTTTTGGGCCCTTTGGAGTCCTAAGGGCGACCCTGGAGCAGAGGCTCTACCCTTCATAGTGAGTATGACTGCAGAGGGAAGTTGGGCAGTCTAAGTTGCCCTTACGACGGGAAGACTTGGTAGTCCAGTGGGCAACCTTTCCGTTTATGGCGGTAGCATGTGCTCAAGTTGATCATTAGTCCTCCTGGCTAACCGGACAAATAGGTTTAGGCTTTAGGGTTCTTTGGATCCTTGTGCTCAGCTTGTTTTCCGATTTTCTGACTGCGGCTTCGATGCTGGAGCAGGGCGGTCATGCGGGCATGAGTGGTACCTTAACCCCCGGTAAAGAAAAGATGCAACGACATCATAACAGGGAAATGATTCGAGCATGTTTTGGTTGCTTACGGGTCAATTTTGGGCTTTGTAGTTTGTCTGGAGTCTGGACTCTGAGTTAACAGCACCACCTTCAGGTAGCACGACTGATGGTTAGGGTTCAAATCAAGAAGGATAGAGTAAGCGCTTTCCCTAAGACTCCATGTGCCCATATAGTATATATACTTATTTCGTACAGGGGCTCCTACACAGGTACTTGAAGGCCTAAGTAAGAAAAACAAAAGCAATGGTTACACGGAGCCTTAAGGTTTGGGCTCAGATCTTCGTCTGACCTTTGTGGCTAATGTAGGGGCCTAATACTATGTTGAGGGTTCCTTATTCTAAATACAGTATAATGGGGCCCCAAACCCTAAACCCTAAACCCTAAATAAATACCAATACTATTTTGGGGGCTCCTTATTTTAATTATAGCATAATTGGGCCCCAAACCCCAATTCTAATTATTAAGGCCCCTGTATTACAGCCCATGGGCCTTGACGCCGTTTTTTGGGGCTCTCCGGGGCCTCTGGGTTCAAGTCTCAGGGTTTAGGGTTTAGGGCTTAGGGTTTAGGGTTTAGGGTTTAAGGGTTTAGGGTTTAGGGCTTAGGGTTTGGGTTTCAGGGTTTACCGGACGTGTTTCAGTCGGAGTTTGTAACCGTAGACTCTACAAGCACCCCGAAGCCCAAACCCTCAGCCCGACATCCAAGGGCTCCTCCGTTCCCACAGCCCTCGCCTTGTGGGTTGCCGTCGCCCTTAGCGCAAAACGAATTCCTGCATCCTCAAGCTTTTGTGGGTATGGGGTTTAGGCTTCAGGGTTTATAAGGTTCTTAACACCTCATTCGACACTTTTCGAGCCGCCCAAAATTAGGGTTTAGGGTTTAGGGCTAGGGTTTCAAAACCTTATCTCTTCAAGGCTCGATCCTGAAGCTGGAGCCCCTACGTGCTCAAGCCCGGGAGCCTTGACGTCCTTCAGCCGAAGAAGCCAAGAGCCCTATACTCGCCGCAACCATCGTTAATCCCAAGAGCCCTTACAATCTCTGCAAACCCGGAGACCCTACCCCCGCTAGGTGCAATTCGTCCAGATGTTGAGGATTCTACTGTCAACCCCGGAAACTGCAGCTAGCTTGACCGCTACATGCTCTGTCAGCGCGAGCTTGCACCGTAGAAAGCGAGGTGTCTCCATCAGTTCGCAGTTCACGTGCGTTCAAGACTTGAGGTTGTGTGTTGGCGGGCGTGGGTTTCTGTTGTGTGTTTTGTGTAGCGATTTAAACCCTAAACCCTAGAACCTAAACCCTAAAGAGATGGGTCTTCGGCGGGTTTCTTTATGTAGTAGTGGGCTTCTTTATGTAGTAGTGTAGTTAATCTTTTCCTGTTTGGGGTACTAGAACCCCTTATATAACCTTAGAGGTTAACCTTAAGTTCCCGTAGGTACTGGACTAAGTAGGCTTCAGAGAAAGACCGAAGCAGAACCCCCAGTTCCTCCAGCGGACAATCAGGTAATATGGGGGCCTACTAATTAGAATCAGGTTCTTGAGAATAGCACAATGCAATTATATGAAGCCTGAGGAGTAATACTAGTGATTGGTTTAGGCCTTTAGGCCCCTACGTTAGACAATCCTCGACATGATTCTGTTTCTTAAGTGTGGGTTGCAGTCGGGTCCTTGAAATCAGGACCCCCGCAACCCTTAATGGTTTCTCCGCTTAGCTGCAGTGACGGCACAATGCCTTTAGTCAGCATCATTCGCATTGCTGCTAGGAAGCAAAACTCAAGTAGCATTCTTAGTGGGCTTTCTTTTGTATCTTTCATGTTGGCAGTGTAAGTCTTGTAGCGGTATATCGGAAATAACAGCAACAGCGACGTGCAATAGCAGCGGGATGATTTCCGTACTGATGGACACACAGATTCGACATAGATCAAGCTACTACATGTGTGATTCAGATGCTAGCTCATATTCTTTTTGATTCCCGTCCATGATATCCACTAGAAGGCAGCTCAGCTCTTTTTGATCACGCCCTTAACCCCTGATAGTTTCGGGCTTC